GTGTGTGTGTGTGTGTGCGTGTGCGTGTGCACACATAAGCGTGCGGAAGATTGTGAGAATTAAAGGGAATGGCCTTTATTGAAAAACATAACAAATACGTCATGGCAAAACATGAAAATTGTTATCCTTTAACTCTTTTGTATAACTGCTTAACCAGTGATACAACAATGATCTGTATCTAATAAAAGAATGTGAATGTAAGAATTTTCAGAATAACCCCAAAAATGCCAGACTTTTTCAGTAAGTCTGTTTCATGGGGTAAGTAGCAATTGTCTGTATGGATTCTGAATGCAAATATCTTGGCAAATTTGGCAATATTGGGGGCAAATTTTTGCATTTTTTGTGGCAATTTTTGGCAAATTTTAGGCTTGCAATTTGCAAATTACTGCGGGGACAGTATGTCAGAAGAATGTTTTAAAGAGAAAGTCATTATGAAAATGAGTTTCGGGCTTGGGTATGGCACTACACTTGAAACCCAGGATCATGTAAGGGCAGTCGAAGAGGAAGTACACCAAAAGAGAAGTCAACAACCACCCAAACAGAGAGAAATCCAGCTTGTACATAAGACTACAGCACCGTCCAAATATACCAAACAATTTAATCCTTCAAAACAAATAATACTTTTTGCAGTGTTCCCAAAATTTGAATTATATCAAATTGAGGAAATACAGGTTCCAAAACTTAAGATCAAGTGATTGCTCTTTGTTCTTTAACTCTTTCCGGACGTAGTTGTTTTGGGGTCTAGACGTAATTAACTTGTGACTCGATTCGGCTACACAGGTGAAGAACAAAAAAATTCATATAAGCATAACTATCACTCAAAACGTAACATATGATATATCAAATTGAAGTAAATTGAATATGGAATACATTCCAACATCAAACAAGGATTAATTTTGAACATAAGTAAGCACTACAAGGGTTATAAATGGCGATGGTGGTGAGAAAAATACATTTTGACTGAAAAAATTTCACCCCCTAAACAAGTAGTAGTAGTAGTAGTATAAGGTTTTACGGCGCTCGCAACTGCTAAGGTCATATGAGCACGCGAAACACAAGTTGTTCACCTCT